ATAAAGCCCAACCTTCGAAATCGAAGTTTCAGTCTGTCGAAGCCTTAAAGGTCAGGTAACCAGTACAATACATAAAAACTGAAAAACCAAAACCTATTACAGGAAAAAATTCCTGGTAAAATGCTCTTTACTGAACAAGAAAAAACCAAAAAAATTTTTTTTGTTGTGAACTGTAATAAAGAAAAGAAATGGTAACAGCCAATAAATTTTACGAAAATGGTTTACAACACTCATCCAGTACAAAGCCTGTCTACACTTTTATGAAAGCGATTAGCCTATGTAGCGGAAACGCAAAGTTCGTAACTACAGCAACTATAATTTTCAACCTAATTCTCAGTAAACAAGCACACAATCTATGAAATAAAAATCTCATGATTTTTATCCAATAATGATAGTTGAATGCTTATACGACAGACCTAGTAAGAATCTCAGAACATAACTAAAAAAGAATAAAGTATGGACGAATACAAAATTACAGGTTACATTCTAAGTTATGTTCGAAACAACGTTTAAGAAAAAGCTTGCAGTCATTTAACACATCAGGAACACTCAACGGCAATAACATCACGTGGGCATGCAACCTCCTTTTTATCTATTAATAAGAACAAAATACCAAAATCAAGTATAAAGTAAATAACAAATAAGTAAAGTAATTTGCTTACTGAAAAGTTTACGAGACTGAGGAGAAAAAACGCAAAACTGAGCTGCTTGTAAATGTGTGAAAACGAGAATATAATGTCAACAGAAACGGCCTGCTCAGGAAAATAGCAAAAGTAAAAGCAAAAAATACGAATAAAAAAATATACAAAGAGAAGTCGCAAGGTTCACAAACTTTTCTTGACTAAAGCTGTATTTTTTTACGCTTCCTGTAAAAATTTCTAAAGCAACCGATTTTTGTAACTGTATATCAAGAAAACTAGACATTATCCACATCGTCTTAGCAATAACAAGATAAAATATATAAAAATAGATTTTTGAAACTCAACATCAGCAGATTAACAAAGCTATTTTAAAACCAAAGTAATAATAATTATAGTGAGAGAAATTTAAATGATTTTATCCATGAAGAATTTCAGCATAATTTCATTAAAAGCTATTGAAAAGCGAAAAAAACTTTCTAACACTGCATTTATTTAATGCCGCTTGAAAAGATAAACCTTCTGAATGAAAAAATTATGTGTAAGAGAGTTTTGCCAGGAAATACATGGTACTATTTTAGCTCACAAGTCAGAATAACCCTGACATTTAAAAAAGACTAAAAAAAAGCATTTTTCACAAGGCTATCCCCCATGTGCTGCATAAAAGAATTTGTTTACTTTTTTCCTTTTACTAAGTGTTAATGTTACACTTCCAGTACTCAAATACTTAATGCCCTAAACTGAATAAGACTTGCCTTCAAACAAGACTTGTCAGAAAAATTAAAAAGCTTTAAAAAATCCGCTCAATATTTGGTTATTCGCTCTACAACTCTGAAATAAATGTTTGCATGAGCAAGGAAAAGGAATACTGCTTGTTAAACAAAGCAGCACTCACCAAAAAAGTCTACAAGTCAGAATTTCTCAAAATAACTGTTAAACACCAGGCAATGGATACCAGCAAAAGTAAATTCATCTAAAAATCAAGAGTTAAATTATTTTTACATAAAGTTACTGAAAGTTTTATAGATTAGAAGTAGAACACTAATTTTTTTTTTTTCATAAATTATATTATTTCTAAAAAGCATAGGGGAAAGGAGGAAAAAAAAAGGAAATCTTGATCACATCTGTTATAATGAGAACATTCCGATCAACAACAAAAACAGACAAATTCATGAATTGATTATTACATCAAAAAAATTTGTGCTTTTGGTAAGCATTCAAAATAACAGCAAATAATTATTGTATAATAGTAATAAAACGTTTTGATTCATCAGAACAACAACAAAAATGTTTAAATTGCGACAAAATATTAGCAAATAAATGCTTACCCATGGGGTAACAAATATGTTGAAAAGAGACAGAACAAAACCTAAGACTACTGAACTAACCTAAAGTAGTTATACTTTACAAAGAAAAAAAAAAAAAAGGATTATAAGTCACCAGAAAAGAAACCGTTAAATAAACATTAAACAGAGAAAAAAGAATCCTTTACAGTCTGAAAAAGCAATGAATATCAACAACAACAACGAGGAAAGAAAAAAAAATCTATGTTAAAACGAATAACAATCGCTTTGCTTGGCATTCAAAGCAGCTATGCCTCAGAACTTTAGCCATCAATTGCCGCTGTAATCGCTTAAAGCTGCCAACTTTTACAGCTTGGCGGGAAAAATGTATTATTTAAAAAATGCTCTACTGCTCCCGAGATGATTTGCAACGGTTGCAGTCGCAGCTAACCGGTCGCCTGCCTTGTGAATTCGTACTAATGATGCCAAATGCAATCAGTCGGTTGTTTCAACCAACGGTAAACATATTCTCTCCGCCCGTTCAATAAATAATTGATAAGCCCGTCAGGGGTGATTGTTTTTGGGTCGATCCAGATAAACTGCTGTGGAAAGCGGACGAAAAATACTTTTGCAGTTTAATGCAGTGATATTGGCAATAGAGGAATGATACTGGAAAATCAAGTTTTTGGTAAGTTATCCTTAGTTACACATAACTTTAGTTCATTCACTGGCACCTGATAAGCCGAACAGTAATCTGGAAGAATAACACTGAATTGGCGTTATATGTTATACTGCAGAAAAAATGATTGCTGAACTTTTGATGACTTAAAGTTTA